GACCAGCTTCAAGGAAGATTTTGGAATACCGACTGGCTCTTCTGGTTTTGCTTCCTCCAAGAGCTCCGAAATCTCATCCAATGTTGTGTCCTTGCTGACCGCGGGCTGCTTCTTCGGCGCCATCTTCGCTGCCCCCCTAAACGAGCGCATTGGCCGACGCTATGCACTGATGGTCTTCACCGTCGTATTTCTAATCGGAGCAGCTGTTCAAGTTGCTTCGAAGCATCACATTGGACAGATCTATGGTGGCCGTGTCATAGCTGGCTTGGGAATTGGTGGAATGTCTAGTATCACGCCTGTGTTCGTGAGCGAGAACTGCCCCCCAAGCATTCGAGGCCGAGTTGCTGGCATGTTCCAGGAATTTCTGGTCATTGGGAGCACCTTCGCCTATTGGCTAGACTATGGTGTCTCCCTGCATATTCCCTCAAGCACGAAGCAATGGCGTGTCCCCGTCGCTGTTCAGCTGATTCCTGGCGGTCTTATGCTCCTCGGCCTTTTCTTCCTCAAAGAGTCTCCTCGCTGGCTGGCTGGTAAAGGACGACATGAAGAAGCTCTTCAGTCTCTCGCATACATCAGAAACGAGTCTCCTGATAGCGAAGTGATTCAGAAAGAGTTTGCTGAGATCCGAGCAGCCATCGATGAAGAGGTAGCAGCTACCGAGGGGCTGACATACAAGGAGTTCATCCAGCCGAGTAACCTCAAACGCTTCGGATTCGCCTTCACTCTCATGCTTTCACAACAATTTACGGGCACCAACTCAATCGGATACTACGCCCCTGAGATCTTCCAAACTATCGGACTTAGCGCGACTAACTCGTCTCTTTTCGCTACTGGAGTCTACGGAACTGTGAAGGTTGTCGCGACGGCTATCTTCCTGTTCGTTGGTATCGACCGTTGGGGTCGGAAGCTCAGTCTGGTCGGCGGATCCATTTGGATGGCGAGCATGATGTTCATCATTGGCGCTGTATTGGCCACGCATCCTCCCGACACAAGCGCCAGTGGTGTCTCCCAGGCTTCTATCGCCATGGTCGTCATGATCTATCTCTACGTGATTGGCTATTCGGCTTCCTGGGGCCCTACCCCCTGGGTGTATGTCAGCGAGGTAAGAAAACCATCACTGAGCTCTACTCGACACAATATATCTAACAGGCCTGACAGATCTTCCCAACACGGTTACGCTCATACGGTGTCGGTCTGGCAGCCACATCCCAGTGGCTCTGGAGTTTCGTCGTCACCGAAATCACCCCCAAAGCTGTCCACAACATCGGCTGGCGGACTTTCCTCATGTTTGGCATCTTTTGCGTTGCCATGTGTGTCTTCGTCATCGTTTTCGCCAAGGAGACCAAGGGCCGCAGTCTCGAAGACATGGACATCCTTTTCGGCGCTGTCAACGAGGCGGACCGTCGTGCTGCGGTGGAACACACCATGCACAAGCGCGGCTCCTCCCACATCGAGGACGTAGATGAGGAGACTGAGCGTGTTCGCCATGAGCAGGACAAGGTCTAGCTGGGCTAGATCAGTCCTTGTACGAATGAAATATATAACCCGTCTCTGGGTATGACTGGATGGTTTTAAAGTTGGGCGAATCAGCATAGATCTAGATGTTAGATGGGGGCTTATATATCGGTCTTCATAGAATCGGGTTTTGTTTATCACTAGGATCTCGACTGATTCTGACACCGGCTGGACTGACGTTGTGTGATACTATGCATGGTTTCTTTTTCTATTCCTTCGTCCAATGAAATTTTTCTGGTAAAACCGAGTGGATTTAACTTCCAGCCACGGTAGACCCAGCCACCTCCTGATGTAGACGGCACACAGGAACAATTAGTGTTAGACAGCTAGGACATTCATCAGAACTGGCACCTCGGGATAAGGGGCAATCCTCTTGAAACTGCAGGTCACCGAGTCTCACCAGGATCCAGAATTGTACTATAACACAAGTACACTATCGATATCACAGCGATATCAACTCTAGTATATTCTTATTGACCACAACAGCCAACTCAATAAAGAGAGTTCTGCTCAATAAAGTCTCAGACATCGTCAAACTCTCACTAAATAGACTTACTCCAATCTCCAACCGGAGGATTAGCATTAAAACCAAGTAAGTACTTAGTATCTAGTCCTAATACCAATGTCTTAGATACTTGTACCACACAACCGCTATTGACTGGCAATTAAGTGAGCTTGTTGAATAAGCCTTGCCGCTGTTTTTTGAATGCTTTTTTTTCCCCCCTCCCCACCCTCTTTTCTTTCCCCGTATAACCCTAAACACTCCGAGATTGAGATTGATGGACTGGTGCTATTCTTAGATGTGCGCTCGTGTTAGGCTGAGACATGGGGAGGTTGTTAATCTCGTTGGCGCAGTTTTGTCTGCTTTCTTATTTCCTATTTCTTATTGGGTGGGTATGTTGACTGATAGGGGTGTACTTGAATTGACGAAGTTCAGTATCTGATACAGAAAATAGGTTCTGAGATGTGGGCATGTCGATAATGTTAAGTGAAAGTAATCTAGTAGTGCAGATGGTAAACAAAGTTGGCAGGAATGAGCAAAAATAGGGTTGGACCTCTACTCATTAATTATTTGACTATGATAATTAACTTCACCCGTTGACTCAGCTTTGAGGTTGAGCTGGTGGTCAGGTGTACCTTCCTTATCCAGCTATTACTTCGCCCTTGTTTCAGTTAATTATCGGTTGTGAGGCTTTCGATAGTATCTCATCGCGGTGTCAAGTTGCGGTGAAGGATAAACCACCAACTGGTAGTACTTAAAGAGAAAGTGGCAGAATTATTTACTCTTCGGTAAAGTCTTCGACAATTGGCTTCCTTTCCCTAGTACATCATCCTGAGATCAGAATACATTGGCCAACCCTCAGCGATGTTGCTTGACTGGAGATACTGGGTCTTTGCGACCCTTTTCATGGTACATTGTCTCATGCTGGCGGACGCGGCCTCATATGGAGCGAAGGAGTGTCAGATCCCACGGGTAGTTGAAGCAACAGCAGAGCAGCTTCAAGATGGTCTTAAGAAAGGGTGCTTCGATAGTGTCGAATTGGTCAAGGTTTAGTGACTTCTGCCCTATCTGTACTACTGTGCCGGCGGGATGCTGACAATTACAGGCGTACACTGCTCGAATCAGTGAGATTGATGTGCACTTTGGTACGATCCTCGAGTTGAACCCCGATGCGCTGAGTATAGCGAAACAGCTCGATCATGAGAGGGATCAGGGGCATATCCGAGGGTAAGTTGCTGTATCTGTAATGGTATTGAGTGGGTGGCTGATTGACTATTGTAGTCCGCTGCATGGCCTGCCAGTCTTGCTCAAAGACATGATTGGCACGAAAGATAATATGCAAACAGCAGGTATCATCCCTTCATTCTGATCGGATTCATTGCGTTGGCTGACGATATGCTAGCTGGCTCTTGGGCGCTTGTTGGAGCTAAGGTTCCTGCCGATTCAACTGTGGCGGCGAAGCTCAGGGAAAATGGGCTGGTCATCCTGGGCAAGACTAGTATGTCGGAATGGGCCAATTTTCGCTCGGTGAACTCGTCAAATGGTTGGAATGCGCGACGCGGATATACGTTCGGGGCATACTATCCTGACCAGGACCCGAATGGAAGTTCGAGTGGTAGTGCTGTTGCGACTGATTTGGGGCTCAGTACGTTTGCCTTGGGAACTGAGGTACGTCAGAAGATACTTTCTTGTGTATGAAATAGGTACTGACCGTGATGGATCAGACTAGTGGGAGTATACTGCTTCCGAGCGAAAGGAACAACATCGTCGGTATCAAGCCAACTGTTGGACTTACTTCACGCTACATGGTCATCCCTCTTAGCGAGCGCCAGGACACCATTGGACCATTGGCTCGGACAGTCAAAGACGCAGCTATGCTGTTGCAAGTAATTGCTGGTCCAGATGGCAAGGACAATTATACCTTGGCTTCACCCTTCGCAGAAAAGTTGCCCGACTACTTGGCAGCTTGCAAGGTGTCGGGTCTACAGGGCAAGCGTATTGGTATTCCTCGAAACGTCATCGACTACTTAGGTCCCACAAATGCTCCGATAGTTTCGGCATTCGAAAAAGCAGTCACTGTAATAAGCGCTGCAGGTGCCATAGTCGTGGACAATGCGAACTTCACAGCGTACAATGACTTCTATGGCAGCCTGAAACCGGCCATGGTTGTAGCAGCTGACTTTTCGACGGACATCAAGAGCTATCTGAGGAATCTGGAGCAGAACCCAAACGGCCTCTATAGCCTTGAAGACATTAGGAGCTTCACCCAGCATAGCGCATTGGAAGATTACCCGTCGCGCGACACGGGGGTGTGGGATCAAACGATTGCTTTGGGCATGAACAACACATCCCCGAGCTTTTGGTCCTTGTATCAGCAAACCCTCTATTATGGAGGGGAAGGAGGACTCTTAGGAGCTCTGTCCCGTGACACACTCGACGCTGTCATTCTGCCCACTCTTGTGGGCTTCGATATCCCAGCTGTTGTTGGTACCCCAGGTATCACTGTTCCTCTGGGAGCATTTCCATATGGGACACCAGTGGAATATAACACCCGCGGTGACTTAATTCAGCGTGCCCCTGGTATCCCTTTTGGCATCAGCTTCCTGGGTAAAAAATGGAGTGAAGAAGAGCTAATAGGGATGGCATTTGCATTCGAGCAGAAGACACTCATCCGTAATAAGCTCAAGCGATCTCTGAAGGTAGATAGCTAGGTAGAATGGATCGTAATCCTGGTGGGTACGCAGTTAGATACCTTTATTAGGCTTTGAGGTTTGTATTTATCATTACACAGTTTTAATAAAAGAGAGACTTTGGAATATGTTAAGGTGAAAGACGCAGTTCAGTATCAAGGCGGCAGATATTGGCCTGATAATACAGGTGTCAATGTGATAACCAGAAATGGTTTAGCCTCAGATAGGCTGATAAGATGGATGGAGAAAGTCTTCCGAGCGGGGTGCGCCTCCGTCAGGCATGCCGGAGCATACCTCAGACAGGGATTGTAAATTCGAGATAACTAGACAGTCTCTGTCCATGAACGGACTCGAACAGACGTGCGCATCTTTGCGCACGCAGATTGCTGCTACTGAAGCCAAACTTGCCGACCTGAAGCGTGAGCTCGAAGTCGCAGAACAGGCTGCCGCGAGCCACAAAAGCCAGAATGCAGCGGACGCTGAAAAGGGATCTGAGAGGAGGTGGCCCCTTCTAGACGAAGAGTATCGACGCTATGGAAGGCAGATTATCGTGCCACAGCTAGGAATACAAGGTTCGTGAACTGTGCCCCTCCCCTGGGTTCGGGAGATCTAGGATTACTGACCAGTGCTTTCGCAACTCAGGGCAGCTGAAACTCCGGTCGGCGAAGGTGTTGATTGTAGGGGCTGGTGGGCTGGGATGTCCGGCAGCTTTGTATCTTGCTGGAGCAGGTGTTGGTACGCTCGGACTTGTGGATGGAGATTCTGTGGAGTCGTCGAACCTTCATCGTCAGGTCTTACATCGGACAAGGAATATCGGGAAGCTGAAGGTGGATAGTGCTATTGAGTACTTGAAGGAGTGAGTTGACACCTGGGATTCAGTTACTACTATTTGTGCAGTATGCTGACCTTGGACTGCTTATTCTAGGCTGAACCCTCACTCCAAATACATCGCTCACAGGGAACATCTAGCGCCTGAAGCTGCCCCAGAGATCTTCAGCAACTACGACCTGATTCTCGATTGCACGGATAACCCCGCGACTCGATATCTCATCTCGGATACTGCGGTGCTCCTGGGTAAACCACTGGTGTCGGCCTCTGCTCTGCGCACAGAAGGCCAACTCATGGTATTGAACAATCCTCCTCGACCTGCCGGCGACAAGACCGGAGGTCCTTGCTACCGCTGTGTATTTCCGAAGCCGCCCCCGGCGAATACTGTCACAAGCTGCGCGGATGGGGGTATCGTGGGCCCCGTGGTAGGAACAATGGGCGTTTTGCAGGCCCTAGAAGCAATCAAGGTAATTACAGCAGATGAAACATCCAAACCCCCGCCGCCATCATTGCACATCTTCTCCGCATACTCTACACCTCTCTTCCGCACGATCAAACTCCGCTCTCGTCGGCCAAATTGCGCGGTGTGCTCCGCCGAGGCCAGCGTCACGGTGGATACTGTACGCTCTGGCTCTACCGACTACATCTTCTTCTGCGGCACCGCAGCTCCAGAAAACTTGCTGTCACCCGAGGAGCGCATCACACCGCGCGAGTATCGTACAAGGCATCACGGCAAGGAGGAAAAGGAACCGACGATCATCGATGTCAGGGAGAAGGTCCAGTACGACATCTGTAGTCTGGACAATAGCATCAATATCCCGATATCCACGATTCTGGCTTCTTCGGCGAGCGCTATGAGTAACGGGGACTCGTCGGCCGATGGTGTGCCAGCGTTACCTCCATGGGTGCCGGCGGACGTAGCGTCATCGCAGTCTACTGACCCAGTGTATGTGGTGTGTCGACTGGGCAATGATTCCCAGGTTGCTGTTAAGAAGCTGAAAGAGCTGGGATTGGATCAAGGAGGGAAGAGGGTCGTGGCTGATATTCGGGGAGGATTCCGTGCCTGGAAAGAGCAGGTTGATCCTGAGTGGCCTGAGTATTAGAGTTCATAGACTAGATGATCGTACTGTATGTAAATAGTTGACAATGGACACGGTATATGACGCATCGTTGCAATTTCTTAACAATAATCATACATCAATATTTGACATCCTCTTCACGCACGAGAAGCATGAAGGGGGAATGTAACTGGCAGAGAGGAGGAAAAAGAAGGGGTTCAAAAAACAAATCCCTCGAAGAGATTCGTACCCACAATGCTATTCAAGATTGTGGAGACAGACAGTCGTGATGAGCGACCGCTCGACTATTGGAAGGCTAACATAAAAGAGCGACTGTCGATAATGATTCTCATAGCACTTGATTATCGAGGCTGAATTGAAGCAGGAGTTGACATTCAACATTCAGGTCACCTGCCTTGACTGCCACGAATTCTACACCTCACATATCTCCTGGTATTCATCTCTCAAGAGCAGTCACCTCCTCTGTCATCCTCTGCGCCATAATCCAGTTGAGTATGCCAGTTCTTTCCCCCATTTATCTGTCTATCCAAACCAGACATGACCGTTGATCTAATCCCCAACAGGTCGACTACTTCCAATACGATGATGTCGATTCCTGCATGGCAGTGGGTCCATCCACCAAGCATCCGGGCAGTTCCAACCATTCCAGCCAATTCCAGGCACCGCGCGGCATCTCCGTTCAGTCTGGAGCCGTCAAGTTACCGAGATCCGAGTCTTGGTATCTCACTCTGCGCAAGTCCAAAGCTGGTCTTATCTTCACTACTACATCTGCTGGTAAAGCGACCCATTCAACACGAGCACACCTAGACTAGCTTATCGGTAAACAGAGGCAACAAATCACCGACTCGGTGCAAAAACTGGTTGTGCTCTTGGCAGACGGCCCAAGGATCCACTTGGGAAAGTCGGCGGTCGATCGCCACTACTTCGACTGTTGCGAAGTTTAAACTTCTCCCTCTCTGGACTCTTTTCTTCCTTTTCCGAAGCAAGAACCGAAGCGAAAATCCCCCGCGGCCACAAAAATCCTTACCGGAGACACTCCAGCTTACGCAACTACCTGCTTTCTTCTTCCTCGCCCAGTCCAATAGGCGTTCAACCTGAACTCTGCGAGAGTTTAGCCGAGTTGCATCTGGCGTCGCCGATCGCATCACGTGGTCTGGGGAAGTGAGGCCGTGGATGAGGGGCCGGCTCGTGCCCCGGATTCTTGGATCAATCCTATCTGACATTCAGGGGTGAGATCGAGCGAAAAGAGCTTTGTCGTGGGTAGGTGTACATACACTCCACGATGGCAGCTCAGGTCGACTCAGACCAGTCCTCCTCGCGGGTCTTACCCGGCGAAGATGATGGACGACGGAACCGCGAATGGAAGCTCTTCAGCAAGCTGAAACGGGGTTGGAAGAGCTTGGAACTGGATATGCCGACTCTGCTTCTTATGATGAAGTATGTTCTGTGTCTCTCAACTGCCGAGCTCGTATTGATTGATTTCGCAGGGGTGCCCTTGCACCAACAATTTGTGTAGCTATGTAAGTTCACCCACAATTCTCTGCTACTTGTGCCAGACTAACAAAAATAAAGATATCAAGCGGATGCCGTGGCATCGCTTTTCAATACAGTCGGGTATCTGGTGGCCATCATTTCCGTCTTGGGATTCTCAATCATGCCTCGGGCCAAGTTCATTCAGATGATGGTCCTCGACGTATTAGCTGTCTGTGTTGCATCAGCTGTTGCTCTACTTATGATGTACTCGTGTGTCAAGGCACGGGAGCATTCTGAGTCTGCCACTGCCGCTGCCGACGGAAGCACAGCATACAACTCGTCTGCAGCAGCCGTCAGTGGCGTTTGGTTGTTCTTTGAAATCTACCTGGTTCACACTTTTCGAGCCAAATTCCAGCAGTTCCAGTTTCCCGTGATTATTTACTCGATTGTTGCCAATGTTGCTTTTGTTTATGCTTCTAGGCTTGGGACCATGGCTGCTGCGATTGCGCTCGTCAAGAAATTACTCGAAGCATGCCTAACCGGGTTGGGAGTGGCAACGGGTGTCTCATTGTTCATACTTCCAAAAAGTACCCGAGGCATCGTCTTCAAGCAGATGGCCGGCTACATCGGCGGTCTGCGTGCTGCCCTCAATGCACACACGGTGTACTTCGAGACCTTGGAAAAGGACGACATGTTCGGGAGGGCAGAGACGTACGATTCGACCGTAGAGAAGGTCACCGATAAGGGCAAGGTTTATAGCCCGGAGGCGCAGGCTATCCATACAGCCTGTCAGAAAGTCACAGACCTTCATGCCAAAATTCATGGCGATTTGACATTCGCCAAGCGCGAAGTTGCAATTGGGAAGCTTGGGCCAGATGATCTCCAAGCCATCTTCCGACACCTGCGCCAGACCATGATACCCGTAGTCGGGTTAAGTTTTGTTGTGGACATATTCCAGCGCTTGTCTGACTACAACAAATGGAACCAGCCCATCGACGCGACTGGGGCAGAAATTCCCGATCAGGTACGCCAGAGGGTTAGACTGGAGTGGAACGAGATCATGAGAGCAGTCCATGATCCTTTCAGCTCAATGATTCACACAATTGACGAGGGTCTGCATCATGTGTCTCTTCAGCTTGAGCTAACAAAGCCGCCAAAACCATCGAAAGCGGGCAAAGAGCCGGAAGATGTGGAGGCAACGGCTAGTCCGAAACCGGGCGAGAAAGGCTTTGGCGAGTATTACGAGAAAAAGCTTCGCAACTTCAAGTACGCCAAGCGAGTTGCCTTGCGAACTTGGAGCGAAGAGAAGGGGATAATCCTGCCACCTGACTTTTTCGAGCACCCGTCATCAGTACATTTGGATGTGGACGATATTCCTGATGACAAGTTTGGAGTCGGCCGAGACAGGAGCCGACGGCAGCTGTACTTGATTCTCTATGTAAGCTTGCTCTCACACTTGATGTCTACTGATGCTGACTATATCACAGGTGGAGCAGCTGCTCGAATCCACTGGCCACGTTGTCCATGATTTTATCCAGTTTGCAGACGAGAAGGTTGCAAGTGGGAAGCTCGCACGGAAGCGTCTCGTAATTCCCGGCTCAAAGCGTCTGCTAAAATGGTTCATCAGCGCTTTCAAGGCGGAGGACTCACATGAGGACGACAACTTGGGTGGTGACATCAACTCACAGAACAACATCCTTCAACTGGGCGAGGCTTATAAACACCGAAAGGACCCGGAACACTTGCCGCCGGAGAATATGTTGGAGAAAATCGGTGACAAGATTCGCCTCATACCCACGGCATTGCGCTCTCCCGAGTCGGCATATGGGTTCCGAGTTGCGTGCGCTACGATGACCGTTGCTGTGGTTGCTTTCCTTCACGATACGCAGGATTTCTTCGTCAAGCAGCGATTCGTTTGGGCCATGATCATGGTCAACCTCAGCATGTCACCCACTTCCGGGCAAAGCATATTCGGCTTCGTTCTTCGTCTCCTCGGTACGGTTCTGGCCATGGTGCTCAGTCTTCTGGCATGGTATATCCCGGGGCAGAAGACGCCTGGCATCATCGTATTCCTGTTCATATTCTTGACGTGCGTCTTCTACGTGCCGATCAAGATCTTCCGCTTCCGTATCATCGGAATCATCACCATCATCTCTACCTCGATGATTGTGGGCTACGAGCTCGAGGTGCGTAAGATTGGAGAAGAGGTGGCCAGTTCCAATGGACAGCAGTACTATCCAATTTACCTCCTGGGCCCGTATCGACTGGCCACTGTGAGCGCTGGTATAGCGGTGGCCTTCATATGGACATTCTTCCCCTATCCGATCTCGGAACACTCTGTCCTACGCCAAAGTCTAGGAGCCTCTTTGTACCTCCTAGCCAACTACTACTCCGTTATCCACGAGACTGTCAATGCGCGCATGCGCGGCGACGAGGGTGATCTAGCACTGAAGACATCATCAGGTCGTCGGCTTCTCAAGGCGCGTAACAAGGTGTTCTCAAAGCAAATGCTAATGTTAAACAACCTCCGAACGTATGCCGGCTTCCTGAACTGGGAAGTCGCCATCGGCGGTCGGTTTCCAAAAAAACGATATAACAGTATCATAACTTGCATCGAAAAGTGCGTGTCCCCACCCTTTACTATCTATCCATCATGATATCCCCAATACTAACTACCACCAGCATCGTAAGCTACCTCAGTCTCCTAGGCTACGCCTCCGACACCCTCCTGCAACTCGACGGTGACGACGAATCCGACTCCGCCTGGGTCCACGATTTCAAAAGACTAGTCGCCAGCGCCCGCGTCACAACCCACGAAATCACCACCGTGCTCTGTCTCCTATCCGCAAGCATAACAAATCGTCAACCGCTACCTCCGTATCTGAAAACACCCCGTCCCTACAGTTTCTCCAAGCGTCTGGAGGCGCTTGACAAAGATATTCTCAGTCTGCGACACATCGCAGAGCCAGGGTTCGCTACGTTTTCCGTCCTGCAGATCTCGACACGTTGCATCGTGGGTGATGTGGAGAGATTAATGAGGTGAGTGGTTTTTCCTTCCTTCCACTTCATTCAGTATGAACTTGGAATGAGTGATTTGCTAATGAATGTTGTTTATTTGGTTCAGGGACGTCAAAGCCCTAGTAGGCGAGTTGGACTTCTCGTTCCATGCTATAAGTACCGCGCATAGTGTCAAGTCGTCGGCGGAGGTGTCGCGGCTTTCGAGACCGCCGTCGCGCGATAAGATGGATTAAATTAATTGATTGATTGATTGATGAGGCATGAGTGATTGACTGACTGATTGATTGATGTATATACCCGATAGATATTTTGATGTTGTTGCCATGTTGTGAGGAGTATGCCGTGGCATTAGTCCTAATTGATAGTGTATACAAACCTGAAGCAGACCGATGAACTGTGCACTATGTCCTTTCATAGCAAAACAATCAATAATTTTATTTCATCAGAATATCGATTTGTATTTACAAGTATGATCCCATCATATTGACAAGTATAAAATACTCCTTACTTACTACCTACAGTAGTAAAAACCGACAACCCCGCATCATCACCCCCTCTCTTTCCCCATCACACCATTTAGTACTTAATTTACTATATAACCAATCCACATACTCACCCACAACCCCCACCCCCACCCCAACCCCAACTAGTATAGCAAAATGACCACAACCAACGCAACAATCCTCATAACCGGCGCCGCCGGAGGCATCGGCCTGGCCACATCGCGGCACTTCAACGCCCTCCACCCGACCAGCACCATTATCCTCACCGATCTGCCCACTCACCAAGAGACCACTGAGTCCTTGATCCAGAGTACATTTCCGCACCCGGAAAAGGCAGTCTTTCTTCCCGCTGATATTCTGGACTGGGGACAAATGACACGTCTGTTTAGGATAATTGCGCAGGAATATGGTGGGGTGGATGTGGTGGTTGCGAATGCGGGGATGATGGAGTCTACGTCTGTTTTGGATTTGGAGGATGTTGATGAGGAGACGGGGGAGTTGAGGGAAGGTTTGGAGGCGAGGAGGGTGGTGGGTGTTAATTTGTTGGGGACTTTGAGTAGTATGTTTACCTTTCTTGAGTTTTCTGGGGTGTGTTGTGCTAATGGTGTTGATGATGGTGTGAAGCACTGCGACTGGCAATGTATCACATGAAAGAGAAGGAGAAGAAGAACGGGTCAATTGTGCTGGTGGCCTCTACGTCGGGGTATTTTGGAGGAACGGGTGTCACGGCTTATGTGGCTTCCAAGCATGGTGTTGTGGGGTTGCTTCGGGCGTCGCAAGTGACGGCGCAGAAGTATGGCATTCGGGTTAATGCCGTTGCACCGTTTATGACCCCGACTAGAATGACGGCTGGTTTGTCTCAGAGCTGGCAGGATGCTGGGCTCGAAGCGAACTCTCCTGAACGGGTGGCGGAGGTTATTGAGCAGGTCGGGATGGATACGGACCGAAGGGGCTCTTGTATGCTGGTGAGTCCACTGAATTGCACAAGTGATTGTGATGTACAGTCGCACTAAGGGACTTATGTGCTAGGTTGCTGGAAGATTTCTCAGAGAGATGGAGTCGACAAGGATGGCATTGCTCCCATCATGGCTAGGTCAAGACGTTGCGGATTTCATGGCGAAAGAAATGAAGTTTATTGCAGATATCGGAGGCTATGTGCTTCCTGCTCGTCTGTAGAGAGATTGGTTACATGCATCCAGGTGAATGGTGTCCTCCGGGATGGCATGGAGCAACTCTTCTACAACTCCTTAGTTCACTGCTCCAGGATTAAGTCACCGAGGTCAGAGCTCACATACCAGTCATTGCGCGGCAGCCCCTTTGCCCCAGTAGCCAGAGTTGGACCTTGAGTTTCCAGGACGGAGGAATGTGAGGACCACCAATCAGGCAGCTCGTGTATCATAGTTGTGCTGAGCCAATCGTCACAGCTGCCCAGTAACCAGCCCTCATCCCCATGTTCAGCTTAGGTGCCTGTATCTCCCCAGGAACATGTGCCTCTACCACGCGGTCTGTGCCCTGCCCCTTGCATTTCGTACTCTCACCATCTGTCCTTTTCGAGTGCTGTAGCAGGCCCCTTCCAGAACGATGATAGCCTAGTGTGAAGTCCTATTTGACCTGCGTATTCCTCCACGTGTCGTGGAAACTGTCCAGCGTGCCCGCGAGAGACCTGCGGTACCATTCCATATGGGGGTTGAGTATATTGAATTCAGCCATGCGAAGGATGGCCTGGAGCCGCAACTTTGCAATTGTGCTAGTTCTCAGAACCTGGTCGAGGTTGCCAGCGCAGAGCATCTGCGCCACAATGCCGCGGCGAATCTGGCCGTGGAATGGAAACTCGGTGTTAAAGAATGGCTAGTCCTGACCTGCGTCTCTTTATTGATGACAATGGATGCCTTCAATGCGACCGTAGTGCTTCCCCTGATAACAGTATGTGTGTTCATTTGTCCGTCCTCATCTAAACGTCCGATCACCTGATATGGATAGAGCAGAATCTATCAGCCACATCTGAACAGCCACTCGGAAACACACTATGGATTGAGGCATCATACCTTCTGGCTAGTGCGGCAAGCCAGCCATTTTCTTTCATGCTCGCAGCAATTTTTGGGGTAGGGCCTATTGCCCTTGGAGCTGCTGTGCTGGCCACAGTGGGAACGGGGGTCTGTAGTGGTTCGATGAGCTTAGCTTGTCTGGTTCCAGGGCGGTTTGTCCAAGGCGTAGGCTGTGGAGGAGTAATTGCGACCTCGCTTCTGATGATAGATGAAGTCATCCCATATCCTCACCAGGCTCGAATTACTGGTTATGCCTTTCAGACTCGAGTGGTCGGGGCCATTGTTGGCCTCATCTTCGGTGGGTTGCTTGTCGATCACGCCGTCTGGACCTTTTATGCCAGTCTTGTCTTCTGCGCACTGGGACTTTTGGTCATTCCGTTCGCGGTTGAGTTGCGGACCTACAAGCGTATCGCAAAGTGCAAGGCGTGTGAGCTTGACTGGCAGGGTGCCGTGTTGACCTTTATGGGAATGGGCTGTCTTCTCATAGGCGTCAATTGGGGCGGGATATTATACGAATGGACTAACTGGCACGTTTTGGTAGTTCTTGGTGCTGGGGCAGCCTCGATCATCGTCCTAGTCCTGTATGAGAGTCTGTGGTCTGTCCACCCGCTTTTCTCGTCGACAATTTTCAGCAGCATCGCGAGGACCATGTTGTACCTAAGTAGCTTGCTGCACGGATTCTTGGTAAGTTATCAGCTTGTGGAAACGGACGAAAATCACTGACTTGCGATAGTTATCCTGCCATCTCCTCAACTGTGCCCTGTATCTAAGACTGATCCAAGAATTGCCGTCTGCATTCGAAGGGCTCAGTCTCCTCACGGTCGTCAGTCCGGCGTTGGTAGCGCTCATTCTGACAGAAAGGTTGAGACTTTTGCGAAACCCGAGTACCTTTCCCTGGATGGTCCGGATCGGATGGTTGTGCAGCGTCCTTGCGACAGGCTTCTTCATTATCCTAGACGACAGCACTCCACCTCAAGTATGGGTTTTCATCTTGCTTGGTGCCGGAATAGGCCACTCCCTCCTTATTTCTGGGCACCATCGAGGGGTGCACCACATACACCAGCCGAGCAGAGATAGTGAGCACTACTCAGCATCAAGCATCCTCATGTACTCTCTTCTGCGGACGTGGGGGATGTGTATTGCTGTTCCTGTTGGCGGGGCGATCATTTTGCATCGAATAGTGAGGCAGGAGGGCGCAGAGAGAAGTCACTTTGATTTCCAAGCAGGCGAGGCCTCCTTATCGCAGCAGGGTAGGGACCAGAAGGAGATGCTTGTAGGTGGGTTTCACATGCTATGGCGAGTTATGGTTGGGGCGTCTGCTTTAGGAGGTGTCAGCTCGCTGTTTGTGAAATGATGTATAGCAGAGTTCGATGTGACATTAGGAATCGATTGAATGAATGTACTTAACGATATTCACATACCGATGAACAGCAGGTAGATGAGAAGGCTACCCACTGTAAAAGATATGAGTCGGTGGGATGGCTAAACTAAACGGGAAGGAACTTCAGCTTCACGTCACATCCACCAGCTACTTTCCCGACCAGTAACTACGGGTTACTGTACATAAGACGAAGATGGAAATCACCCCAATTCATTCAAGCCAACGCAAGCAACCTAATTCAAAGACTAAATCCAACTCAAAGAGACATCAAAAACATCTCGCTAACAAACATTGTCATACTAGAAGAGGTGGTATCAAAAGACAAACAACATCGCTTCAAACACCTATACAGCAAATTAACCAAGAGCAATACATCATAGAGATACCTCAACGGAGGCAAGTTACATCATTCAATCACTTTCCCTCTTCATCTTCGTCATCATCATCATACTGACCCTCATTCTTCTTAGGATGAGGCGTAGGCACTCTCTTCAACGGAGCACCAGATTCATAATCATCAATCCCCATAAACTCGACGACTTCTCCTTCAATAACACGGATGCTCTGTTCATCGTCTTGGGTAGTAGGCTCCTCGACAACACCATCAGCGGCAAAAGGAGAATGATGTGACACCTTCTGCCTCTTCTTCGGCGGCTCATTGTCGTCGCCATTAGACGTAGAGGCATACATAGAGGCGACTGGCTGGCTCTTGGCTTTGACTACCTTGAGCCAGTTGGAAAAGGACACGATCTTGTCCATTTCGACTGTTGTTGGTCGTAAAAAGAGGATGGTTTGTTTGGTAAGAGAAAAGAGAAGAGTAGATGGATAGCAGCTTGCAAGAGCAAAAGCAAGAGCAAGTATAATAGCTTAAAGTGTGTTCTTATATTTGAACTTCAAGCGTAGTAAGCGAAGGAGTAGGTAGTTGAAGAAGGGAAAGAGTAAAAGGTTTCCGCTTGCAAGAAACGGGGGGCTCTTATACTTCCCTTCATTTAAGGTTTATGACTCCTTCTATATTCTATATATCACGTCTACCTCATCGACGCTACCTCTTTGGGCCAATAGCTGAGTTTGATCTGTGTTTACTAGTAGTGGTTCCGCTGGATGGGAGTAATGTACAGCCCTATAGGGATACATGGACATGTGGTGTATACACATCCTTACGTCTACAACATCTAGACTTGACACACTCTCCAGGTGTTGAGGTATCGTGACATCAGAAGCTGTAGTGTATTTGTCTTGGTTTGTTATTCTCAAGTACGTTCTCTACTTCGCGTACAAATATACAAGTTTTGACGATGTCATCCTGTGAGTCAAGGATGAGGTCATGGTGAATTGAGTAGTAGACGTTATTGCATAATGAAGATGTTATTCGATTCAATCCTCCAACATAATGTTCCAGAAGCCTTTGTTGCTTGTCAAATGGGCATAAATAATTGTAGAATAAGTTCAAACATGATCGTTATAGCAGCTGTATACTGCACAGACTGTACGGGGAATCGTTATCGTGATATCTTGATGTATGTTTGAGTTGCTTTGCTACTTCATGTTTTCATAAAGGAAAGGGTAAACCTTGAGTCGGTGTCGATGCAAAGAAGATTCAATTCCAGGATGATGCATCTACTCCTGAAGGACTGTTTGGGGTGAAGTATATCCGGCTCGGCTATCCAGATTAGGCCTTTGTTCCTATTTTGGGATAACGGGTGGAAAGTTTAACTACCGACAGCCATCTTATCAGATTTTTGCACTGTATACTCGTCGCTAAATGTGATCAAAACAAGATCTACTTAAGCAGAGCAATTGACAGAGAATAATGTCATTGTGTTGGCTGGTTATCAACCGCATTAGGGTCGTGAACACTCCCCATGAGTAATTATAGTAGAAGTAGATACACGAAAGGTAACTTATCAACAACACCGCGTCCCCTAATTACATCCACTGCTATATAATGTAAATGAGTTTACTCATTTACAGGTTGCCCTGACCGGCGTTAGCAGCAACGCTAGAGGCAACAGAGGTGTAAGCCGAAGCAGAGGCAATGTTCTTGCCCTCGAAGTCGGAGAGGAAAGAGGTGCTGTCCTCGGAGAAAGTGCCGGAGGAGCCGAAGCCGTTGATGACACAGTCACGGCCAAGGTAGGTGGAGCAGACTTCACCGGCGGTGGAGGAGGGGACGGTGAAGGCCTCGCCCTCGTAGGTCTCAAGAACAGTGTCGACGTTCTGGAAAACGTTGCCCTCAGCCAAGACGTAGCCACCCTCACCGATCTCGAAGGCGTGGCCGGAGATGTCGTACCAGTAGTTGTTGACCTGTGTTGGTGGTTAGTTCCAGTCGAAGGTGACCGGCAGAGATAAAACTTACAGCGTGGAGGAGAGTGTTGTCCTGGACCTTGGGGGAACGGCCGGAGGTGTGGTAGATGTAGTTGCCCTTCATGGTGACCAAGTCGGCGTCACCGTCAAGGTAGATGGCCCAGTAGTGGTAGCCATCGCAGGTGGCGGAGTAGTCGGAGACACCGTCAATGTAGTTGTTGGTGAGAGAGACGCGGTTGTCGGCGCTGGTTCCGAGGACGTAGTGCTGGCGACCAATGCGGGCAGTCTGTCATTTGTTAACTCGATGCTCTTGATTTAGTAAAAGTGAAGAAGTGAAGGCGTACAGTAACGTGGTCGATCCAGACCAGGTCACAGTCATCAAGAGTAATAGCATCACCACCCCAGACGTACTTGGGGTTGATGTCGGTAACGGCGATGTTCCTGATCTTGTTAGAGCAATTCCCTAATGACACCGTGTATAACCTACTGGATGATGATGTTCTCAGCACCGCTGACAATGCGGAGACCCTTGCCCTTAATGGCACCAGAGGAGCCCTCACCGATAAGGGACTTGTTGGAGGTGACGGTGATACCGAGGGTACCAGCGTTGTAGCTATTCAAGTTAGATGCGAGATCAAAAGCGGATGACAGCAGGCAAGGACATACTATTCAACGCTGACAGAGGGAGCATCGGGCTCGTAGTTCTCGCACCAGTCGTCCTGGTCAATAGCAACCTGGCAAGCGGAAGCGGTACCCCAAGGAGCGCAACCAGTGCCAGTGGTGGTACCTTCGCTGTCGGTGAAGTCGAAGGTCTTGGTCAGGACAATGACACGGGCCTCATCGTCTCCGAGGTAGGAGACCAGCTCATCGATAGTGTCGGGGTAGACGGGGGTGGCACTGCCACCACCGGTGACGCCCTTGGCGAAACCCTCAGCAGAGCCGGACACGCCGACGGCAGCGGCGGAACCAGCGAAAACAGCGGCAGCAGCGCTGAAGATAGTAGTGTACTTCATGGTGAAGTGTTTAGAACCAGCTAAGAAGGGGAAAGAAAGACTAAAGTGAAGAGAGAGGTATGCAGAGGAAAGGAAAGGAAAGGAAGGAATGGTTTGATACAGAGAAGATGTCAACCTGGATGGGATTGGGGCTTTTTATAGGGAAGACTGACTCGTCAGGTTGACGGAAGCATCTGACAAGAATCTGATAGAGCTTCGCCTTTGGCTCAGACCCATTCTGGGTAAATTGGACGGATGATCAGTATGAAACGGCCAAGTGCATCTTTCATTAGTAGCCAAGGGCTATCGAGCCAAACCGTTGATTCTTCTCGGTCACTCCACCGGCGCTAAAGTCGGTACTGACCGAGCAGGTAGTCGAAGGAGATCCATCATAGCGGACCATGGATGGAGTGATAGACATCGATGACAACCAAGATGGGAAGGGGAAAGAGGAGTAGTAGCCACATGGTTTGTCCATCGCGGTGATGGCCCCTGTTCGTGGACAGTGAGTTGGATGGTCCACTGTGCTGCCTGGCTATTGAAGGTCATAGGTGGACCTTGGGAATGAGTCGGGGGATTTACGGCGTTTCATGATGCCCGCGCCGGCGCACTTAGTCTCGGTAGTCTAAAGTAGTCCATCCACTCGGGCTGGTGGGCCTCGCGATTGAAATTCTGTAAAGAAGCAATTCCTCCGTCTTGGCAGAGTCCTTGTGGCAATGATAGTCGGGAAAATACCGAATTCGACCATCAGGGTGTAGCTAGTAGTTTGAGGATGTTGCGGATGGAAGGCTGGACGTGCTTGACAGTTAGGGCTGTTCATCACTGGTGAAGAACAAGAGGGGAACCGAGGGGGCAATTCTGCATCACCATTCCAGCAGTTTTGAAGAGTTTTACTTCCTTGACTTCCACTGAGACCGATTTTGTTTCAATTATTAATGGCTTCAGTACCTCTCCACGCCTCTCTCTATCTTTAGTCGGTCTTCTGGTCGAATGAGAACAGCTGGAAAAGCTGCGCGGAATAAAGAAAAAAAAAACGAATTAGGCGTTCTTGGTAAGGCGCCAGGAACGCCGGCCAAGTGGTCCACAGTGGAACCGTCTTCGGATTTCGGTGATAGCAATACACCAGTGACCACCCATTAAGTCGACGGCCGAGCAGCTATTACTCCTCGATTTTCGACTCCAGTGCAGAATTTTAGCCATCCAAATTCAGTATCGACCTAGTTGACTGACTGATGATTTTGTCATCTAGTCTGGACGGCTGAGTGGTCACGATAAGGTGGGAAAATGTCGGACTCCGTAGGCATCAGTTACCACTCATTCGTATCACGAATCAGGGGAAATGGGGTAACGTTGCCCCTATCAATCATATTTCCGGTCCATCTGCACACTATAGTGAGACATTTTGCTGTTAAGCTTGGATTCCGGCGTCTTGGCTCGTCAAGCTTCGAAGCCGTAGAAGGAGCTTATTCCACGCCAAAAGAAGATACTGAATCAGACAATATGGGGTGGTAGTCTAATTAAACCCCATCTATGTGGTCTGTCTAGCCTGTCTAGAACCTGGTGAGCCACATCGCGGTACCACTCGCCCTTTGACGAGGACTGTAATATCACCCCAGTTGGAGCTATCGAACTAGGCCAGCTACGATCAGACGCTTGGGTACCGGGCGCCCGATAGGGGTTAATTGTGGACTTGTTGACACTCAAGATTATGCTTAACCGAAACCAGAATCTTCCCCGAGGGTGTCGTGTTTACCTCTGATGACTTCCTTGATATTGAACACGATACCTGCCGCTTGCAAGTGCTGCGCCCATTGGATTGGCTAGTCCTCGAAGTGGCAGCCAAACCCCGCTCTTGGACAGCATCACGAGTTGAGGGTGGGAGCAATCATGAGCTCGCATGATATTATTGCAGAAAGTAGGTTGGTGATATATTGCCTGAGTAAATGACCAAGGGGTATTCGGAACCACCCGGAAGAGACTTGTTGGTTCTAGCCTCACCAAGGCCATCGTTCACTTCAAACATCGAGCTCTCTCGGCGTTGGTCATTTTCTTTGGTCACAATAGACAAGCTCTTTCCGCATTATGCTTGAATAAGACGCAATCTTCGTCAGTTCCTTGAGGGGAACTTAGATGTAGAAAGTCAACCGGCAAAACGCAGTCGGGGATGGATATCCGCATGACGGGAGAGAAATCATGCAGGAGTAATATAGATTCGTCATTTCTAGGCCGCCACCGGCACTTTTCTGCATATTGATGGGCCACCGATGCAGGCTACTGCAATGTGATAAAGTGCGGGTGATGCATAATTCCACTACCGCACACGAAAGAAGCAAGCGTGAGTGGAATTCCACCAAGACGAGAATGAGATTAGAATGGTGGAGATGCCCAATCGGGGATAGTTTCAATGCCTGATATTGTGGCCTCTTGTTGCCCTATTGCCTTATGGCCTTGAGGCCTTGTGGCCTTGACACCTATAATCTCTGCCTTGGCGCCTTAGACTGTTGATGCCTTATCGCCTGATGTTTATGGCTGCAGTTGATTTTTTGCCTTGTGGCCTTGGGCATCAATGTTTCGGAACGGCAAATGATTTCGGCTCCGTTTCCCCTTTGGGATATTGCCTGTTGGCCGAGCATACTCGAGTTACACGGACGTAGAAGAGGGCAGTGGGGTTTGATATCAGTAAGGGACGTTATGTCTGCTCTCATCAAGCTACTTACTCGGACTGAACACAATTCGGCTTCAATTGACTTCCGATTCAAGGTCACTGAGTGGAATTATATTCAATCCAGTGCCTCGCCGTGTATCCCCGACGCTTGCAATTAGGCTTTGCGTGATTGGCCAGCACCAGCTGAGTCAGCCATTTGCCGGCCGCCAGACCCGAGGTTACCTTGAGCTGCCAAAGGCGACAAAACATCGCCAGAACCGATCGACTTCACTTCCTCGTGCCTCCCTTGGACCTCGTTTGTCGTTGCCGCTGGCTGGCTGCTCTTCTTTCAGGCCTCTCTCCCCTCCCTCCACCGCCATCGACATTCTTTCGGTCTCATTGACCTCTCCTACTCGCGCATATCCTATTTTTCGCCCTCTGGTAGATCCCTCGCCCCCCGATCGACCGTGATCTCTTTCTCGACCGCCCACAATGGCTGCCCTTCGCACGACCTCGCGCCTGTTCGCTTCCTCGAAGCCGCTGTTCCGCCCAGCCGCCTTCACTCGCTCCTATGCGACCGTTGACGCCCTTTCCCAGGTGAGCGCAAGCGGCCACGCGAGCAGCAAGACCATTCCCGAATCTAAGACTTCGAATGTGCAGGACCCCAACCCCTCGGAGCAGCCCCGGGTCAAGACTTTCCATGTCTACCGCTGGAACCCCGATCAGCCCACCGAGAAGCCCAAGATGCAGTCTTACTCCCTGGATCTGAACAAGACCGGTCCCATGATGCTGGATGCCCTGATCCGCATCAAGAACGAGATGGACCCCACCCTGACTTTCCGGAGAAGTTGCAGAGAGGGTATCTGTGGAAGTTGCGCGATGAACATTGACGGTGTCAACACCCTGGCTTGCCTGTGTATGTTGTCCTGGAGTGCTTGGTGCGATGTCCCGGCTCGGTGGCGCTGACCTTTTGCTGTATAGGCCGTATCCCCACCGATACCGCCAAGGAGTCTCGCATCTACCCTCTGCCTCACACCTACGTCGTCAAGGACTTGGTCCCCGATTTGACCTACTTCTACAAGCAGTACAAGTCGATCAAGCCTTACCTGCAGCGCGACACCCCGACCGCGGATGTAAGTATTGACAGCGTGTGCTGCGATGTGGGCTTTTTTATTGATAAATTTATAGGGTCTCGAGAACCGTCAGAGCCCCGAGGAGCGTAAGAAGCTGGACGGTCTGTACGAGTGCATTCTGTGCGCTTGCTGCTCTACCTCCTGCCCCTCTTACTGGTGGAACAGCGAGGAGTACCTTGGACCCGCCATCCTCCTCCAGTCCTACCGTTGGTTGGCCGATTCCCGTGACGAGAAGACCGCCGAGCGTAAGGCCGCTCTCGACAACAGCATGAGCGTGTACCGTTGCCACACCATTCTCAACTGCTCGCGGACTTGCCCCAAGGGCCTGAACCCCGCACGGGCCATTGCGGAGATCAAGAAGATGATGACTGCTCATTAGAGAAGTGACACGAGATCTAAAAAGAATTGCTTTCTCTTTGTGCATTACGTCTTGTGTGGCTGGGTATTTTTCCTTCTTTCCTATCCCATTTCTTTTTGGTTAATTCGTGTCTGAGCTTTATTCCCTCCATCCCCGAGGTCTTTCATGTCGGATGTGTTTCAATAGGTGTAAATTGTGAATGTGATTTATAGCCATGGCGGTCAGCCAGTGATCAATTGAGTATATACTTGTGTGATCAGCGTAATGCGTAAGGTACAGGCGGTGTCAATTCGGGTTTCATATATATTATATATAGTGGAGTGTATACGCCTTGATTTCAATAATAGGTACCGCCAATCAATTATCTTTGAACTGGAGTTACAATGTTGTAAATGCCTAGAATCACACGGAGTCAAGTGGTCTAAACCTGGTCTCTGCCAGTCCAACTCAGTTATATATTCTGCCGCCAGTACCCAACATCATCATGATTACTAGTATACTGCACAGTACTAGTCATGTTCTCTCATTTCTTTATATATACTTCATAGTAAAAGACAAAATCATCTAGCAATTGATACTAGCAGTACTTCAATTCCTACCACCAACAATCATTCAAGATAATCCCACTCAATCTATATATACGAAGATAGAGCAACAACCACGAGATACTAGTATAGTAGTAGTATAAAAACCAAACCACACCCCATAATCCAAAACCAACTACCAAAAGAGGGAGGAAAAAAAAAGAGAAAAAAAAACAATTAATACCTCCCCCCCGACCCCAAAACCTCAATACACCTCCCAACCGCCTCCTCCATCCTAGCCGTCGCCTCCTCCACCAACCCCATCACCCCGACTCCCTTCTCCCCAGCCCTCCTCTCCATAACGCCCACCCACTCCCCATTCAACACCTTATTAATATTCACCTTACTAACCCCAGCCGCAACACATCTATCAAAAATCCCCTTATCAAACGGATCCGCCCCATGCAACACCAACCTCACCCTATCCCCCACCCTCTCCCTAATGCTCTCCAACCGGTCATACTCCAACCGAATCCCCCTGGGCCCATAACTCCCATGCACATTCCCAAAAGCCGGAGCCAGCCAATCAATCCCCGTGTTGACGAACTCCTCCGCCTCTTCGGGGGTCGTCAACACCCCCTCCAGGTCCGCAGTGTCCGAGACGCCGTCTTCCCCGCCCTCGATACGCCCGGGCTCGGCTTCTGTCGCGATGCCCCGCTCGTGGCAGTAGGCGACGAGCTCGCGCGTTAACGAGAGGTTCTCGGCTTTCTCGTAGTGGGACATGTCGATCATGATGCTGTCGAATCCGGGGGTGATGTCTGCGGCTTGGCGGACGATTTCGGGTGTTTGCGCGTGGTCGAGGTGCACCGTTATGGGGACGCTGGCGTTGCGGGCGGCTTCGGCGGCGGCGTGCACGAGGATGGACCCGGCGTATTGGAGTGCCCAGGGGAAGAGGAGGATCATGGCTGGGGAGCGGTGCTTTTCGGCGGCGCGGACGGTTGCGAGGATGCCTTCGATGTTGTAGCAGCACATGGCGGGCACGCCGTAGTGGTGCTGGTAGGCGTGGTCGAGGATGGGGAGGGCGCGGTTGTTGGGGAGGGGCATCGTGGTGGTGGTGGTGGTGGTGGTGGTGGTAGTTTTGGTTGAGAGGAAGAGGATGTAAGTGAAGAGAGAGGGGTATTGAAGAAAGTTGATTAGTGGTGTGAGTATGTGTGAAGGGTAGTCTTATAGTTCTGTCGCGACGGAATGGTTGATGTTGACTCCACTATTTACAGCCGGAGTTGCTCCGACCCTTATGAGATCATTTCCTGATGATATTAAATTCTGATTATTTCGGCGGCTAAGTCTACGGATAAACACGGATTACGCTGGTGCTGGCCTCCGACCCGTACCCTTGGCCCTTGGACATCAATAATACGTTCAGGGCTGCGTTGCCGAGATGGAGCGGGCAGTGCATGTCCCGCGCCTTCTGCACCACCTTCTCTAACCGACTCACTACCGCATTCAGAGTCTCTGAGCCAGCTGGTGCCTGTGTGCCGATTTTACCCTCAATCATCTCTAGTCCTCTCGTGACGAATACCTTGCTTCCACCGGCGGCGTCGCTGACGAGTTCGAAGAATTGCGCCATATCGACACCTAGTGACCGTGCGAAAGCGATGACTTCGGCAGCCGCGACAAGGTTTACGCATTGCATGAGGTCAAGCACGAGCTGTAGAGCGGTTTCTGGATCCTCGGTTGCGGAGGAAGTATCGAGGTCTTTGAGTGGATGCGAGTAGTACTGGCGGATCATAGCGGAGTCGTCCTTGGGGCCGTAACCTTGTACAAGAGCGGAGAGGTAAATCTGCTCTGCAGTTGCGCAGAGCGGAATTGGAAAGTTGTTTTGACGGGCTGAGGTAGTAATGATGCCCTGATAATGTTAGTATGCATGGTAATGGCAGGGTAGGTGCAACCCACAGCATCCTTCAGAATGATTGTCAGAGCACTCGCCCCAGGATTCCAATCCTCCTCCACCATCCTAGGAAAACGGTTCTCATGCATCCAGGTCCACGCTTCTGAGCTCTTTATCCGCTCTGCTGTATTCACTGCATCCAGGCCCAGATGCGCCGCGAAACCCATAGCCTCGCTGGCCCCCAAGATGTGGATGGCAGCCAGCACCTGATGTACCATCTTCATGTTACTGCCGGCTCCCACTCCTCCAGGGACAAGATAGAGCTTGCTTGGGGCAGACATAGTCTGCAACAAATCGCGCGCAATTTGCAGCGCAGAGTCAGCACCGCCCGCCATGATGGAGAGGGTGCCATCCGCGGCGCGCTTCGCACCTCCCGAGACTGGCGCATCAACAAAGTGGATATCTGACCGACCTCGAGAGGCGAGTTCTGCAGCGACAGATTGTGCATATGAGGCGGCGACGGTGGAGCAAAGGAGGAGGGTTGCATTTTGGGGAAGGTCTATTATGTTAGCTCGAGGGAATCACTGGCTAGCTAGGGAGGTACATACATTGCACAACACCCTCGTCTCCGAAGAGGACGGTTTGCGCCTGCGGCGCCGATGCTACCATGCAGACGTAGAAAGACTTTCCTTCCGCTGATTCACGCAGCGAGGAGGCGGGCGTGCCCCCCGCAGTTTGGAATCGCTGCACCGAGGCTGGAAAGACATCGTAGCCGTAAACAGGGTATCCTTCATGAACAAGGTGGGTGGCCATGCCGAAGCCCATGGCCCCGAGGCCGACAAAGCCAATGGCTGGTTTAGACATTTTCAATTCCAATTATGTGCTTTAGCTTCTTGAGCTGTGATCTTTGTCGTGTGGACCGGCACCATTTATGGAGGGGAAATGGGTCGCTGTGAAGTCCGAGGACGTGGGGGATACCGTGGGGGGTTCGGAGGCGGTCCGATCAACACAGTTGCTGGTGGACCCTGAACACTGCTAGTCGCATCACGTTTACACATGTCTCCTCCGAGCTTGGGACATCCTCCGAAACCCTTGCCCCGAGAAAAGGACCCCCGAATTGTTCTGGCGCTCGGTCGGTCGCTGTTGAAGCCGATACTATGAGGTATAACGAGTTGATGATCGGCAGGTCCGTTGACAGTCCCGCCCACTTTCCAATCCATCGCTATTGTTGACGGTAAAATGATGCTGCTGATATCTATCATGCTATCATGTAAATTAGACGGCAACAGCAGTAATGGTGGTTGTAGAACATTGCTCGCATGGGATGAAACTCATGGGGGCTTGGGCCAAGATTTCAACTTAAACCACAAGCATTATCCGCTAATAGCCTCCACGCATCGGTGAATTCAGGTTAGCTCTAAAAAGTTCTACGCTGTCTGTTCAGTTCTCGTTCAGGCTGCAATGTGTACAGAAATCGGGCTTGAAGTGTTCAGTAGACGGAAAGCAAGCGGCTTGCATAGCGACTAGAGTTGCGTAAGACCACCAGCATTCCAAACAGCGTGCAACGTATAAGTGCCATACAGCATGTTTTGGTTAGCTTCGAAGCCCAACTGTAAGTGGCAGCCGACCGGGGAGAGTAACATGACATTATGTTGGCAATTACCTCATCGCATGTGTAGTTTGCTCACCTAGAGCTATGCCATCATGCAGGCGGATCTATTAACCCTCCTGTATCATTCTAGACATCGAAGTATTGGAAGAGAAGGGTTCGGAGGAAGCACAAAGACACGCAGGCATTATCAGGGCCGAGATTTAGCATCTCAATCTTGAGTAGAAACGTCAACGCTGAATTCGCGAAGACCAGTATTAATTATAGCGACCTAGGAATACTGGAAATTCAGAGGTGGATAGAGGGATTTCGTTAAATCCTGTATCTTCCACACCATAATCTGAGAGAAACCTAAACCTTGCGAAAAAACCCCATACCACCTAGTTTCACTATTAGTTCAGAAAAACTAGAGTGTGCAGAGACAGCTCAGAATGGTCAAGACTGAATGCCTACCTAGAGTGTCCAGTAGAGATTAAAAGGTCCTAAGAGTCTGAAGGACGGAACACAATTGATGTGCTCGGACAGCCTTCGAGCATTTTAGGACGACATCCAACAACCAACCAGACGCGCAACGCGCAGACTTCTACTGTAGAAGAGAGCTGGACACGACTCAAATGACCACGCAGGACCCCGACCGGCCAGTGACGAACATCTGACCGAGTCGGGGAGATAAATCCTGGCACGTTTTGAAACGTCATGGTTCAGACTACCGTAGCTCTGGATGCAGATGCATCCGGGGACGCGAGATTGCTCCGGCTGCTGGCCGGATGCCATGACATCTTCTGTGGCCTGGCTATATGGGATCACGGTTGCAGTCAGCACAGGGGTTTTCGCCAGTCAAAAAGAACAACTCACTTGCCGGAGTAGACATGGAAATGCTACATACCCCAGCAGGTCAATCCGAGTGAGTTTCGCCAAAGCATCCTAAGGCATGGAAACGCGTCTCAGCGGAGTCAGTTCGCTGGACCCCAGCAACGGTGTTCTAAGCAGCTGACCCGTCAAGCTGTATATACAGTGGTGAACAGTTCCAGGAACACATTCATCTTGTTTTCATTCAACTGGAGGAGTGAGGTGCAGAGAATGGTGATGTGTTTGTTCATGGAGGAGAGAGAGAGAGATAGAGAGAGATCAAAGGGGAAGGCAAGCGTCGATCGCAAGGAATTAACTTCCGATGAGTAATGGCAGGAACTATCCTAGCTTGTGCTGTCTCATTCACCTTCACTGCTACGTTGTGGGTGGAGCTTTCTTTTGTTTAAACCCCAGCAAATGGCCCCCAAAACGGATATGGGATGATGTCGAAGCAAACATCACAGGGGGAATTAGAGGAAACTACGTCAAAGCATTCCAGTAGACCCAACTCATGACCTCGCCAAGTTTCAGAAGTTCAAACTAAATTGAAGGATGAGCGCCCGTCATTCTTGGGACTCAGTTTGGTACAATCTTGGCCGTGGCAGCGCCCCTCGTATTTTTTTACCTTTCCCTGCCACAACTCACAAGGCTACCCTTGTACACTGCAGATCAAGAAGGCACTGCCCTGAAATCCTAGCCACGAAGGAATGCCCAGAGTTCCCCGCCCCTACTTGGACCATTGGCGTGAGAGCCTTTTCCCCAGACCAATGTTTGCCCAGTACTAGTAGTAGTAATTAGGCGCAATCTCAGCCTCGTCCCGCGAGCCCAACGGCCACTTCATCCCCCCTGCCAATCGCGTGGATCTCCTTCCCACAAATGATTGATCGATTGTGTGTCTCATCCCCAGAAGGTCACCAGAGCACGAGCAAATAATATTTGTTTCGTATCCAAGTTGGCTCGCGATGCGTTCCACAAATAAATTCTAGGCGTTGGCTCAGACTGAGGCTTTGAGCCTCCAATCTAAATTAGCACAACTATAAGAATGCGCCCGGGGATGGAATTAACTAAGATAGTTTTCTCTAAATTACACACTAGCTGAAGGGGACATTTATTCAAAGCTCAACCGTATACCTATTCACAATGGCCGAGAAAGCAAACCCTCGTGCGTTCACCCTAAAAAGAAAGTGCGTCATGTTGGATGACTCTACTAACTTTACTACTAGCAGCAGTTCCTACCTACGAGGAACAACAACAACAACAACAACCACAAACCGAAACCCACGAGCTTTCCTCCAGAGAGCTGCCTGCATATGCGCAACCTCCCACCGAACAGACGCCTGAGATCCAACCCCATCAGCCCCAGCAGACCTTCTATGCAGGCTCTCAACACCCGAGCGGCTATAATACTCCGACTCCACTGTATGCACTGCAGAAGACGCCGGCACCTGTCGACTGTCCGGCCTGTGGAGAGCGGAAAATGACTCGCGTGGAGGCCGAAACAGGCAGTTCAACTCAGTATGTGCACGGCTTTTCCACAATAATGGACCAAACTAATGATGTTTTCCATAGTGCTTGGGCTGCAGTGCTCTGCTGCTGTCTGTGTCTAGGATGTATTCCATATATGATGTCGTCGCTGAAGAACCAATGTCATTACTGTGGAAATTGTGGTGTCTTGTTGGCTACATGGCATAACAGTGGACGGACGGATGTGCATCGGCCTGGCTCGAAGAAGTAATGGGGGTTTATTATGCTGTTGCCTATGTCTCTTTGCGTGTTTGATGTGATACCACTATGAGTCTTTTACCATATCCTTGGACATATTAGTTGTGATAATTGGGAAACGATTAACATTTTACGGTCTGCGTGTAGGCAAGAACCTTTGATGCTTAACCTATGGGAAGTAAGCATTACAACACAGCATGTTAGAAGGAAACCAACCTCTAGGTCATTCTCAAGCTTACGCTTCTGCCTTGAGCTCTAAACTTTTTTGGTTTTGCGAGCTTCACATGACCGAAGTGACATTGACCAAGCACTTCGGAGTACCTCTGCGCATACTCGCATGTGGCAGACCGAACTGGACATATAAAACCGCAATCTTTATGGCTGAAGGACAAGTACCCGATTGGGCGATTCCTGGGGCGGTCGTCAGTCACTATCTCGAACTGCTGATCATCTTCTGCGGGCCCGTTCATCAGCCATGATAGGCCGCATTACGAGAACTGGACCCAAGTGGGACCGTTTATATCAGCCCTAATGGCTGGACCCTGGATCTTTCTACAGTACACATCTTCTGGCGTCAAAGGACATTGATTCCGGAAGGCTTCTTTGGCTCTCCCAAGTCAAGCGAGTAGTAAATCCATGTCTCGTTGCATCAGCAATGCTGGGAAGGGGCCGATTAGATAAGAGCGCGGACCAAATGTATGACGTCAAGGATGTTCCTCCGGCAAACACGAGAAGGGGCCTGTTCTCTAGAATTTCGATCAACAAAGCTGGAGCTCTCGCTTATGGATGAATCCTCGATTCTCCTGTCCACGACTCATTTACCCTGCATCCACTGCAGCCGGGCACGAATCGGGAGGCCGGGCGGTGGTAGAGAACCATGGCCGTGAAAGAGTGGTGACGCCAGCGGGACGAGCGGATCGCCAAACCTTGATCACAATTGATTTCATGACTGTTCCTTATGGGCAGGCATCGCGATACGCGTTATATGGCATGCAGATTGGGGAGGAAGCGTTAGGAATGGGCATTGAAGGTTGCGAATCGCTTCTGTGTAACTGGAGGTGGGGAGATTACACACCTATCTGTCCGGAGTGCTGCCGCGCCAATTGACTGCCATGAATGGCTTCACCTCGAGCTGTTGTGTTTTGATTGACCCTTGAGCGTCCCGAGTTCGGCTTACCAAGTTACCCTCCTGTCAGAAATAAGCTTCGTGGACCAGCCCATACAGCGTTGCATGCATGTGCCCTCCTTCACGTCATTGCGATCCTTGCTGTCATGACCTTCCGCTGCTCCCGATGCAGCCAGTCCTACCAGTAACCAGGGTTGTTCATCCGCCCGTCCAACTCTTCCCTTCTCTTTATTCTCCTCGTGTCATATCATCTCTGCTTCCCGTGCCGTTGTTCTCGCAGGTCGTGGGCATCCTCAATCTCTCTTGATCAGTCCTCGTTCACCGAAGCCGCGCGGTCGTTGTTCGTGAGTTGCACATGCTTTGAGGAGATTGATTCTGTGTGGTAGGCTAATAGGAAGTAGATCATGGCCGCTATCGACCTCCTCGCCCTCGAAGCACGACACCAAGTGATCAAGCGAAGCAACTGGGCCGGCGAGAATCCGGGCGTGGTCCTGGTCTTCTGCATCGTTTTCATCGTTGCTGTGGGAATCATCGCACTCTTCATCTACCGAAAATGCATGGCACGAAAAGCAGCTAAACAGTCATATGAGGTCGAAGCTTGAACCTTTGACTGATCCGACCGATGATGCTGTGATACGAGAGTATTGGAGAAAGAAGGATGGAAGGATGAAAAGGATACGATTTCGGGCTGGCTACGTCGCTGCAACGATCGATACGCACGTTCTCCTTATCTTTGTGTGCCTTTTGTCCGTCCGTCAAGGATACCCGCTCGTGCTTTTGGTGGATCTGGGCGCTGACGGATTGCGTTGATTTAATGGATTGCTTGGACTGTGTTGGCATTAAGGGTACAGAGTCTTAGTTGGATGGGAGGAAAGGATATACTGAATACATACTTTTTAATTTTGCCTATTATGTTATCCCAACTGGATGATATTTCAACACCTAGACTTTTGCAATGGTGAACTCAAAAGAAGTAACTGTACATTGCTGTGGACAAATCTGACTGAATCACCTAGAATACTACTATGAAAGAGCTGCCACGGCTTGGATGGGCCACATCCGCATGGGACCAGCAGTTGCGCCAATGATGGGACAGCAAGTGGTCCAGATGGCAACGGATCTCGTATTCGGGTTGATCGTCATCAGCACAGAATAAGGTTCGTAGGAAAGCTCCAATCTTCTCTTAAAAGATTGACTGGTGCACTTGAAGGTCGCAAAAATATGTCAGGCGCATGCTTCCGTAACTTCAAACTACTCAGTATTTCCCTCATAATAATCTGCCGCTGGTCGCACGGAAGGAGCCTTAGGCGCTCACCATTTAATTAAAATGCCCTCCTTCCTCTCCGTTTCATCCTTTGTGCTCGCTGCTTCCCTCAGCACCATCACATATTTGACTTTCCTCCACCGTTGTCTCAAGAACCGAATCCACCATGAGACGCATTGCGGTACACTCTCCAAATCGGTTTCTTCCACCATATCCACGATCCCCTCCGAAGTCTACACACCAGAATACTATGCTCTCCACGATCGAGCTAACCGCCGGGTGCCTCGCCAGCTGCTTCCCCGCCAGAAAGACGCTGAAATCCTGACCATTCTCTTGCGTCGCAACATGACAGCTTTCGCACACTTTCCTCAGTGCTATATGTTGTGGCTGATCAGCCCAGCCACAAAACGCCCAACGTTTCATACGTCACATATTGATTCGCTGGATTTTAACAAGGGCGATGTTATCTGCGGAATCTACCGTGTCCTAGACCGAACCGCGAACAAAGTCGAGTTCGGAATGACTTACAAAGGGGTGGATGGGCGATTGGTGATTCGGTTCTGGGATGAGGACAAGGACGCTGTTTTCGCCAGTGAAACTGCGATGTGGACAAAGGCGGATGGAACAGAGCGCGCCACAATGCCACTTGAAAACCCCGTGCTTCGGTTCTTTCATGAACTGGCCGCATGGTGGCTGCTAGATTCCGGAGTCAAATATCTGACGGACTTGGATGCAGAATTGGAGGATGATTGATACTCGAATTGTACCACCAGTGTGAACCATCAAGAGGGAGATATGCCGTATCGACTAGCTTCAAATTCCGACAACGTTATGGCTTATGATCGGAATCTATACAAGAAGGCAATGGTATTGCTCTCTTACTTTGTCTCCTCTACGTATCGCAGACATATAAGCCTCCTTGAAATTCCTGTGTGTGCAGCGTCACGAAACGTTCACAACTGCTCCAAATCTTCCAACGCATCCTATAAAGGCCAAATCCGCCTCAGACACCAAGCAAACATTATGTGCCAATATACCTTCCACAACAACCCTGACTGTGGCCATATTGCAAACTTCAGCCTTGACATCTGTGTTGATATGATGAATACAATGCGCGAGGGCACCAAGAACCCTCCTGACCACAAGGTCACCACTGTCCATGACCTTCTGCCGAAAGGTCCCTTTTACCAGTGTCGTCCATGTGAGGGCAAACTTGCCAAGGTGGACACCAACTGTTCAGACTGCTCCGATTCTGAATATGTCGTTCTGGAGGGTCAAAACGCAGGTGTCCCAATTGTGCACAGCTATATGGAGATGTGCCTGAATGAGAAGAATACACCACCCGATGGTTGTGACAACTTCGTGCATGTGAACCAACCGCCACGACTGGGGACCCCTACCCCGGCACCGAAACCGATGTCTGCCAGCCAAACTCTGAAGATGAGGGATCTGGCTAGTAGTGAATCAGAGATCCATCCACCGCTCAACATGATGGAAACGCTGGAAGGATATGAAGATTTCCTGAAGAAATCAAACGAACAACTCCGTGCTCGTCGCCCGCCTTCCACCCCTATTCGCAGTCCAGAGTCAGGGAGCTACGGGGATATACCTGTTGCGAACCAATCATGGTATGCGAGTGACTCGGACACAGAGACTGACCAGGTGCAATCTCCCCGTCCCCTAGGCTCTCCTTTCAGCTCACCACATCGGGCCCCACGACCAAAAGAAGCCCCATTGCGTGTATCCGACTTGAATAGCCCACCACCTAGCCAACAGCCAGGCTACCTCAAGGCAACCCCCCGATTGACCAAGGCAGGGATTCAGGGCGAGGCTGCACCTGTTTACCGATCGAACGGTGCCAGAACTCCGCCCAACCAGCAATGGTATTCGACGCTGCTTCCTTGCACACCTTCTCATCTGATCATTCCCCAACGCTATTCTCCACCATCCGCACCGCGCAAGACTCATCGGACAGAATATTCGCAATATAACCCAGTGGACACGTCGGGCATCCCTTTCCGCCGCGAGTACAGGTTGCCGCGCCACGATGTTCTAAATACAGTCCTTCAGTCCCCACCGTCGCAATATCCTGAAAGTTATAACAGAAGCTATTCAAGACAGTACTGGGGTGCCGTATCCGGTATGAGTCCTGCGTGCGATGAGCGATGGTGATACCCCATCGATGGCAGTATATGGGGGTTCGATGATATCAGCACTTACCAAGTTCATATTTCGGTCTTGTTACGGGTCTGATCTATACTATATATACACAAAAATACCCATGGATGCATGCGTTCTGTTTCACTGCTAATCGATTATCTTTCGGGTTTTTATGCGAAAGTGATGGCGATGATATCAGTGACAGGTTGAGTGACAGCCTGAGAATGTGATTTGGTGTTTCACCTAGAGTTATGAGTTATTGGTTCAGAGGATTCGATAATATCTGACAGTATAATTGTTATGAATTGTCAGTTTTGGTTATGGTTATTGCAAATGGATATCCAATTTACAAGCTCAAATCCTTCTATTCTGTCCCTAGTATATTCTATAGACTGAGTAACACACTACGTAGCCGAAGTAAGCAGTAGTCATGAACGAACAAGTAAACTGAGGGAACAGTCTCTCTTAGTATAGCCTACGAGATTAGACCCCACAATACCACGCACACTTCCTGAACATGAAATGCAACTCCAAAATATCATAATAAATAGTATCAACGAGCTAGTCATTAGGCTATTACCCACCAACACCAACACCAGCAATCCAGCGAAAGATAACCAAGGATATCACATCACATCAAATCAAAACATCAAATCATAAATCATAACTCATGCAATGACATCCAAAACTATATCCCAACTCCAACCTTACCAACAACCAACCAAATCAACGACTTAAGGGAAAGGAAAGAGGTATCACCACTGCCCCCGACACATCGGACAACTCGTCTGCCGATCGCCTTCAAGCGCCGAAGCTATCCACCGGTCCATACACTCGCGGTGGAAGTTATTTCCGCATTGCTTCTGGCACCAGACGAGGGAGGTGTCGTCATCAGAGGTATGGTTGTGTTCGGTAGACTCCTTTTGTAGAGCGCAGAGGCAGATGCAGCAGTCGCCTTCGATGGGGTGGCGGGTGATGCCATGTTCTGAGATGGTGGGTGGGATGATGGAGGGAGGGGGGGTTGATGGGGGTGTCGGGAGGTGTTGGGGGGTAGAGATGGAGGTAGAGGTAGGGGTAGGCTGGGAGGTGGTGTCTTGGGTGGTTGTAGATTCTGGAGTGTCTGTGGTGGTAGAGCGAGATTCTTCGTTGTTTGAGGTAGGAGGACTTGGAAGTGGAGGGTTTGGAGTGGTGGTTTCTGAGGTTCCTGTAGGAGGAGTGGATTCGGATTCCTGGGTGGTTGTGGATGAAGGACGCTCTTCATTGTTGGGTGTAGTTGTGGTATTGGCAGAGTCGGTTTCTGTGCTAGGAAGGCTAAGTGCTCTTCTTGTGCTCGAGCCCGTAGCGCTGGGGCCGGAGGTAGCATTGGTGCTGCTTTGCTGGGCAGGGGAAGGAGTAGCTAGTGCATCGCTAGTATCACCGATCTCAACTACCCTAGACACAGAGCTCGGGGTAGCAGCACGTCGTTCAGCTTGAGCAGGAGTAGCTGGGCCATCGCTTGTCCTCTGGACCCTGGTTGTGCTAACAATGGTGCTTCTGCGTAGTTGCACGTTCGTGCTAGTGGAAGTGTTGACCTGCAAGGTTGTTTCAACACTCCCTCCACGAGCATCCTGCCTCCGTGAAGACAGCAAGCCACTGGACTCCGAGTTCCTCTGGAACCCGTATGCCTCGTTGCGCTCCACCGTAGTAGTCTCAGTCTCGACAGTAGGAGAAGGTGAAGCTCTTCTTCTCGCTTCTTCCTGTCCTCGGGCGTATCCCATAGCCGCACTTCTTCTGACCATGTCTTCAGTCTCCCGTCTAGTGCGCTCTGCGTCTCTCCTCGCCCGCTCTTTCTCCCGCTCCGCTCGCTCTGCCTTACGAATTGCATCCTGCATCTTCCTTTCGAGTTCCGCAAGTCTATTCTCTATGATTCTTGTTTCATCACGCATCCTTGGTGATGGTGACCGCCGAGGCATCGATCTACTCGGCGAGCTCCAAGGAGGAGACCGATGTCCAGCGATGTATTCATCGACTCGAGAGACCCAAGTATCAGTTAGGCCAGCAGCTTGGTTCTGGTGATAATGTCGGCAGAGGACGAGAGGAGCCAACTCCTCCAGTACATGATCAATAGACTGGCCGGCTCTGAGCAAGCGGGTCCCTTGGTCGAGAAGGGAAACTGCATGTCGGCGGTTTCTGGCGTTTGTGGGGTTGCGGCACTGACGGCCCTTTGAGGGCGCCCAGCCAACACAGGGTTGGCTTTCTGGGTAGATTCCGAGAATGTCGGAGAGATGGCGTGTCATTATGTTGTGTGCCGGATGGACAGCAAGGGCAGGCTGGGTATGCAGTAGACAACTAAAGTGGAAGCGCTTGCTCACTGGTTGCGGTTCAGTACGTAGGACACAAGCAGCGCAAAGAACAAAAATCTCTAGCAGATATATAAGATGATGAGTTGAAAGCTTAGAAGGAAAAGTCCATTGATTCCATCCGCCAGACGTTCTAGATGACGCCTTTATACCTCATGGTCCATGGTCCTTATCTCGACATGGAGGGAGGCCATTGTGGCTGTTCACTACACCCTCTCTACCAGCGACGAGGCTGAGCAGCAAGCTAACCGTTGACCCCTGTTTGAGAGAAAGGCTGAGATAGCGACCACGCATGGTAGTTCGAGCGATAGTGCGACTGGTGGTGCACGAGCTACGGGTTTAGTGTGCATTTAGGGTCAGCGTGATTGGTGTTAGATTGGCGTTGGGACGATCAACTAAATATGGCTCACTCCCGGAGGGAAGGAATGAATTGGGCTACTTTTAGTAGTTAGTATTGAGTATTTCAGTACTAGTACTAGTATGGAAGCGGGGGTGGATACCAAAAATACCCACCGCCTTTGGAGTTCCAGTTCCGAGTTGCTGCAACAATGGGATCATCGCGTCATTTTCTGCTCTTTCTTACTTCCCCAAAAAGATCAATTCATTATGTCAGAAATTGTATAAATAATGCCTGGTTCCTGCAACTCGTTCAGGGCATTCACTGTCCCAAATGGCTTCTTTCTCGTTGACCGCTGGTTTGTGGTATTCTTTCCAATCTACTATTTAATACTCTGCCCCTGGCCTGGGTAGCTTTAGCTTGTAGTATATACTATACTATCATATCATTACTATCTCAAGACACCTTCCCCGTCCCTACTTATCTGCCCAGAGGGTATAGTAACCTTCGTACCTTTCTTGACGTGACTTTCAACATACACTGGATGAGCCATGGAACCAAATCGGTATGCTCATTGCTATTTCCCTGGGACTTTCTCCCAACAACGCTTCTTATCTTGTTGTTGCTGACTGTCTTTAGCCCCAAGCGACACCTCTTATCATTACCGGCGGAGATCCGGATCCTTATCTATAAGGCGGTGTTTGATGATAACGACGTTTGTGAAATCCAACGCAGGTCCATTCCTGTCTGGTGCCCGGTCGACAAATGCTGGTATAAAGTCCGGCGACAGTTCATGGCCGACCAGACGAATCGAAATAGCTGGGATGGCTTCTGTTCACATCCGGGTTGTCAAACAAAACAAGGCCAAACAGTCAGTCGTGACATCTACGTCGGCCATGGTCCACTCATAGCTTCCGGGCATTATCCTTGCCCCAAGTCCCTGGAGAGGAATCCGGCGCTTAGTCTCGGCTTCCTTCGCACCTGTCGTCAGGTATACGAAGAGGCAAGACACTTCCCCTATAGTCGAGCCACCTTTTTCACCCAAGAGCTTGGCAGCTTTGCCAACTTCACCTATTCCTTGAAAGCATGGCAGGTGGCCTCCATAGCTCATCTCAAGATACGGATTCCATTGGTGCAGAGCGTAGAGACACATCTGGCCGAATGGAACGAAACGCTTTCTTTAATTAGCCTGGCGTTCCATGGCTTGTCTACTATCTCTGTGGATGTCCACTTCCGCTATGCTGAGCAAACCTGGAGGGACACCTTCTGGGATGGCGGACTTTTAGAATTGGATCGGTTAAAGTTGAAGGGCATGCAACTGGTCATCTACGAGGGGGAAAGGGATCCCAGACAATTCTTCGAGTATTCGGCGGGGACCCTGGCATCTGCACAGCCGAATCAGAAGGCTGCCACTCCCAACCCCATCAGCTTCCAACATGCCCGTGATACCCTTCGACAACGGGACCAGTCGCGCATTGATCCCAACGATACCGGGCGCTTATTTTTCCGCCTCTCGCCCAACGACTTCCCTCTCTATGTATGCAATCTCATCCACTTGCTTCCTCAGCGGCCTCGCACTGAAGCGGAGATCCGGCGCGAGGATAGACATCAGCGGGACTACAATTACCACTACGCCTATCCCGAGGACGACCCTGAACACGTGAACCCAATCTTCGGCTTCCAGTTCAGTGACGCTCTCAAGGGAAACAAGGATGAGATTGCGCGAGGGCTAGATAAGCTGCAACGGTCTCGCAAACGCTTGCAGCAGCAAAAGGCCAAGTCGCCCTTACCTTTGCCCTACAAGCCCAGTCGGAGAGGCGTCTACCCACAAAGTCGGAGGAATAGCCAGGAGTATCAATCCGACCGCAGTGATATGGGCGAGGAGATTGAGCGTCCCGGAGACTGGAGACGCCGTTTGGTTCAGGAAAAGTTTGCACCGTTTATGGAGTCCTTCCCCTTGTCAGCGACCCGAAAATACCCCGGACCCCAGAGCATCTGTTTGAATTGCCCACGAGAGGCCACTGGAGACAGCGAGCATGTGAAATAAAAGTTTGCAAATGGTCTCACTGCATGTACATAGTGAAGCCATATTTCCCTTAATAGATCAGCAATAGTCGTCTGTTCCAAGCAGAGGAACTTGAGAACTCATGAATAGCAAAAAATAACATCCGTATAGTACCATTTACTCTCCTCCAGTCCCCAACCAAGACCAAGCAGCGAAACAGGCAGTCCCCGTGTCCCTGACACTCCTTGCTTGTTGCACAACGAGCAACTTGACACCGTGATGTTGAGCGGTACGTAATGTTGTGGGGGAAAGGGAGGAATGGGGGAATTTCCCGTACGTAATGGCATCTGCGGTGGTTGGATGGATGGATTCGGGATCAGTCATTCGTGATACTTACTTTTACTTACTCACATTTCTTGGGGAAGGTGAAGTGGTCAAAGTGGAAGCAAATTACAGCAGTTGCGGTGGAGAGAAGCCTGGGGCTGGTGGAGCTGCAACCCATTTCAGGCGAGTGTCGTGATTTCTCCCCATTTCTCTTTGTCATCCCAACCGGGTTTAGCCACCCGGTCAACTTAAACCAACCAGTCAGAGAGACTTTTCTCGGCCACGGGGAAAATCAAAACCTTTTAGGTTCATATGACCGCCTTCAATAATTAATTAATTAGTTGAGTTTTTGCCATGAGGGAAGCTCCTCCTCATTACTACTAGCGTAATGCGGGCAGGTCACGGGTCGATGGGGTAAGAAAGGGGGTCTAGATGGATCACAACATCTCCTCTCCCTCTTGCGGGGTATTACGTTATAACCTCGGACGCTGGCGGCTTCTCCATGTCGATCTGCTGAGGTACTTACTTTACTAGTGGGTTCTAGACTAGCCCTGTACAACTTTTGCCTTGAAATTTCGATGCGTTTGAATTGTCTGGGCATTAGCATCATTGCTGCTGGTTAGGATTATATCCCTCAACCTTCTTTTTTCTCATTTTCTTTTCTTTTCTTTTCTTTTTTTTCCCTTTCTGTTTTGCAGGTGGGGCGGTATGGTAATGTTACGGTATTTCCTGCAGCCTTGCGTAACTGGCTCTCATTGCCGGATTGGACTGGCTTTTGTGTAGTTCTCAGTCGGACCCAAGAATGGGTGAAGAAGAAAAAGAAGAAGAAAAAGGGAAAAGAAACCAAGTGGCCCTATCATGACTCAGACCATTGCAACCAGCCAATTGTTCAGACTTTTCTACTTAGTAATTAGTTATTGGTGGCCTTATTAGTCAGGTGCGCAAGGCATTTCCGGGTGCGGCCACCCAATGACCTCAACATGACAGATTCGGGAGATCGACCGGCCTTAATGCGCATCGCCTTAGAATGCTGTCGACTTCAGCTATTGTCTAGTATCCTACCCTGGATAACTGAACGTTGTGAATAATTACTCTGATTCATCCTATCAATCATGGCTACCGCTCTACTCATCACTGGAGCCACTGGTAACCAAGGTGGTGAGGTCATCAATGCTCTGCTGGCGCAGGAGGCAGACGTTGAGATCCTCGCCGTGACCCGCAACCCGCAGTCAGGAACATCGCAGAAGCTTGCCAGAAAGTCTCCCAAAATTAAGCTAGTTCAGGGTGACCTTGATCATCCATCCGAGATCTTCGAAAATGCAAAGAAACTCGCCACTCGGCCCATAACTGGTGTCTTCAGTGTTCAGGTAGTATTCAGCCATGTACCTTTACTTCCTCTTACTTGCAGGATTAATTAACGCAAGATAGAACCCTATGGCAAAAGGTCAAAATGTAGACAAAGAAGAAATCCAAGGGAAAGCCTTGATCGATGAATCCATCAAGCAAGACGTCAGACACTTCGTCTACACCTCCGTCGATCGCGGTGGTGATGCCTCCACCGATAACGCAACCAATATCCCTCATTTCACCAGCAAACACCACATCGAACACCATCTGTTTGAGCAAACTAAGGATGGTTCCATGACCTGGACTGTCCTTCGTCCGGTGTTCTTTTTCGACAACCTTGTCCCCAGCTTCATAGGCAAGGTGCTTGCCACGGCCTGGGATGCCTACCTGCAGGGCAAACCGCTGCAGTGTGTTGCGGTCAGCGATATCGGGGTGTTTGCAGCCAAAGCCTTCCTCGAGCCGCAAAACTACAAGAATCAGTGTATCTCTCTCGCCGGAGATGACCTGACATTTGAACAAATGCAGAAGAAGTTCAAGGCGAAGACGGGGGAGACGTTGCCAACCACATACCGGGTGGTTTGTTACTTATTGATGTGGATGGTCGCTGATCTGCGCATTATGTTCAACTGGTTCTACGATCACGGCTATGGGGCTGATATTCAAGGTCTAAGGAAGACGCACCCTGGACTGAAAAACTTTGAAGCGTGGCTGGAAGAGGACAGCGAATGGGTGAAGCGTTAAGGTGGTCTGACACTATTGCTCTCCATGATTACTTCTGAAAAGTTCCAAATTGGTAACATTGTCACTTGATGTACCAGCACTGTTGTACTACTTCCTACTTGAGCTGCTGCCTGGACTGTACTTTCTATCTATCCGTATGGATACCTAATGTTGAATGATAATCCCTGGGTGGTTGTACAACTCAAGTCCTCATAACCCTCTGGATACGGGAGGTCTAGCCAATCCATCGCTCTTCCTACTTCCCGCGTTTCACCTCATCCCGGACCACTCTGCATCTTGTACTCAAGATACCTCCATGTCACATGTTGTCAGCAGTACCCTTCTCCGACTACTTATTTCCCTCCCTCCCCTCTCTCCCTCTTCATCCTTTTCTGCACTCTTCTCATCTGCGAAATCTCCTCCTTTCATCACTTTCATCAATATTCATCTCTGTCTCCTTATATACATATCCAGTATACTCAATATATAGTGTCTCTCACTTCTCATGTCCTCTATTCTTCTATTCTCACTCCTATCTACCTTCTTCATACCTTCAGCGTTTTTCGTTCAACTTTCTGAATCACCCTACTCAATAGTCCTCTGAGGATGCCTCCTCACCTTCCTACTCAGTTGCATCCATGTCCCCTCACAATTCCATTAGAGAGAACAAAGACCAACTATTTCCTTTATTTCAATCTATATTGACCAGCCCGAAGAACATATGCTCATGGACGTGGGTTCATCCTGTAAAAAATGGGGTGGAGACCGTCACACGACGGGGCTGTCAACTGTCGTATGAGGAATACGACGATTCGGCTCTGCACGCAAAGGGATAAACTCGGAATCCACTGCTGATGAAGTCAGTGGTAATCCCTCTCTTATGGATTTTGGTCTTGTCGTGGTTCTATCTGCCACACGTGATGGGGTGTATTCTATGGACGCTGGAGAACTGGGAAGGATATCGAGTGGAGTTAGTACCTCCTTCCTTAAGTTGTCCAATATCGAGGCCATCCTTGCTAATGATTCTGTCTCGAAGCTGATAGATGGCTGGATATACATGAGCTGGACCACAACCCGACTACTATACAGAGATATCCGAATCGAATTGGATCATGAGGCTACTATACCATCGAAAGACCACTGCAGTCACAATGGACTGCACGCGGTTTGAACAACTCATAGAAAAGAAACTGCATCACCACTCGTTCGACAGTTTGCTTTAGTGCGAGAGGGGCCGTGCTCGAAACGGACACTGGCGATACAATCTTGTCACTTAGTGCACCCCATCCACAATCATGAGTGATGCGGTGAACGAGGACGATGCTCGTGCATAAAGAGGATCCTGAAGAGAACTGCCTGATACACTACACGTACCCCTTGAACATCACTTCCTTAATGCTGGTATTCCAAGATATTACGGGTTTACTTGCTATCAATTGGCCTGGCTCAGATGACTCGACGGATGACCGAAGCAATATACATCGAAAGCATGACCAGCTACAGCCAATCTGTCTGTTCGTGGTCAATGCCCATGCGGCGTATACGCTCGTTGGATGGATGGATGAGATGATCATTGCAATTCAATTTCGTGATGACGAAGACAGCCAGCCGTGGGGAGAGCTTCTACAGAGCTTCTCCATACCTCTTCTAGTGTGTCTGCTATCAGTGATGGAAAAAGTTGCAAAACTACGTCGGAAGAGATCCGAAAGACAGTTGTGAAATGACCGAAATCTACAGACGTGATGCCCCCGAAAGCCAAGATCAAAGGCACTGGCGTTACGAAGAGAAAAAGGCGATATTTCCAGGACATCGGCAGACCTTCGAGGGTATTGATCGGATATGCGCGGTCTGAAGCCTATTAATGACTCGAAGCAGAGACCGACATTCAATCAGTTGCTGTCCGTTTACCGGAGGCCTTGTGGGAGCAACAACTTTGCAACCTGCCGGATTGAACTCCCAATTGATGTGGAGACGATCTGGAGAGTATCGATCAACCCATGGACGATATACCATCCTCGAATTCGACTGACTCAATGAAGCCCACACCACCTATGAGCATTACTTCAAAGCTGCCCCAAGCCTCCTCTCCGTCCTATCAGATCAGATGCACCGACCTAAATTCACCAAAAACCCTAATGAACGAAAGCTATACGCAAGGCACAAACGAGGATGCGAGATATAGTCTGGGCAAAATGTCCACAACCCTGCTTTGCCGTACAACCAGTCACCAGAAGAAAGCTTGGAGTCATCTGAGGAGAACAACCCCCGATGTACTCTCAGCAGCACCCTTTCATTCCATCCACACTACACCTCACGTCGTTCACCCGTGCACGCTAGTTCCTTTCCTATGCATCTTTCCACATACACTATCGAGAGCCTATATCCATCAATAATCAAGTACGAAGACCATCCAACAGGCAATATGGGAGTTCATGGAGAACAAGCTCTACTATATCACACATCCATTCCACGTCAACAGTGTCCACACCACCTTATCGTGTTGCTTCAGCATCTTTAAACCCGCGTGACAGACAAAACACCACCAAGAACAGTCTTGTAAAACTGTTATACATTGTCTTAAACGTACGTACTTACTGCAATCCCTGCTTTCTCGCGGTGCAACCCAAAAACTGACCACCAAAATCCGCAGCCTCGTACGACATGGTGAGAGCTAGCAGGCTACGTTAATTGTATCAAGCGGAGTATTGATTGAATGCAATATATGAGATACTTAAGATAATAGAAAGGGACTTTTCTTTTTCATACCCTCTCTTTTCTTTTCTCCAC